GGAGTCTGCTTCTCCCTCTGACCCTCCCCCCTCTCATGTGCTCTCTCTCATTCTCTCTCAAATAAATAAATAAAATCTTTAAAAAAAAAAAAAATGTTCCTGTATCAAAGGAGAACACCAAACAGAGTACCTAATAGGCACTCAGTAGTTGTTGAATCTGAATGGCTTTTGAGAGGGTGGGTGGAAATGGGGGACGATAATTCGTATGAACCTAGTCACTGGAAGAGCCAATGCTGTGGCTGTGCGGTCAGGATCCCGCTGTGTGACGAAAGCGGTGCTTACAGCTCTTTGGTCCCTAAGGCAGCACACTCTGCGGAGGTTGCTCTAACTGCTGCCCCATTTTATAGATGAAGGAACTGAGGTCCCGAAAGGTGAAGTGACTTCTTCAAGGTCACACATGACAAACATGGCAGAGCCAGCATGTGAACCTGGCCTGTCTGTGTCCAGGTCGGAACCTTTAACTGCTGGGTTATTCCACCCCTACTCACCCAAACACGCTGGCTGGTCTCTGGACTCACTCAGCCGCACGCGGGCCTGGATCGGTGGCTGGGCCTCTTGCCGCACTTCGCAGGTGAACAGCTCTTTGTCCTCTGAGGTGTAAACCAGGATATGACTGTCTTGGTTGAATATGCCGTCCGGGTTCTTGGTGGGGGTGGGAGCCTCACAGGCCTTAAAGCGTCTGTTCACCTCCAGCCAGGTGATTTGTATGACTTCAGGGTAGAACCTTTGCACGTGGCAGGTGAGGATGGCCAACTGGAGGCTAGGGACCCGGTGGGCCGAAATAGTCACTGTGGGTATAACTGAAACAAGAGCCCTTCCTTTGTTCCTTCCTTCCCTCAAGCAAAAGAAGCTCAAGGAGCATCCTTACCTTTCTAGGCACTGCCCTTGGTTCCTGAGATACAGCAGTAAGCAAGACAGACACACACAGAGCTCCTGCTCCAGTGGGGAGAACAGGGAAGAAGAAGAGCAGTCACGTGAGCCTCGGAGGGGTTCTGAGAACCTACACGGGGGCACCTGACCTGGTCTGGCGGTGGGGCAGGTTAGGGAAGAGTTTCTGGAAGAAGGGACCTTTCAGCAGAAGTATGAAAAATGAATAGGAGTTAACTACGTGTGGCAAATTGTATTTTCCAAAAATGGCCACAGCAAATTCCCAGCTGTCTTCCGGAACCTTGCCACTTCCCACCGGAAGGGGAGTCTACTTCTGCCCTAGAAGCTGGGTGGGACTTTGTGACTGCCTGATGAAGAGAATAGCAGAGGTGACACTGTAACTTCCAAGGGTTGGTCATCAAAGTTGATGTGACTTCCCCTTGGGACTCTTGTGACATTCACTTTTGGAACACAGCCATCAAGCTACAAGGATGCTCTAACCGGCCCGCATGGAAGGATGATCAGGAGAGGCCGATGCCAAGAAGAACTGAAGCCCGTAGCCCATCGCCAGCACCGATGGCCAGACGTGTTAGTGAGGCAGCTTTGTGATAATCTCAGCTGTGGAGTCATTCAGGTGAGGTCCCAGACATCATGGGGCAGAGATAGGCCATCCCTGCCAGGCCCTCTCCAAATTCCTGCCCTACAGAATATGTGAGCATCATAATTTGGGAGATCTGGAGTAAGTTTAGAGCACTGGAATATGTTTGGGGAAAATCTGTTATGCAGTCTTGGTAACTGGAACATTAGGCCAAAGGGGCTGGTGGAGGGCCAGAGGAAGGAAGGCTCTGGGCGAGGGTAGGTGTGGGAAAGTGCATCTCAGGCAGAGGGTAGGGCATGGGCAGAGGCCCTGAGGTGAAGCCTAGTGTGTCCAAGGCCAGAAAGATGATCAGAGTGAGTGAGGGGGAGCAGGGGCAAGATGACCAGTGACCATAAAGACTGTCTGCGTTTACTGGTGCTATGCTTACCCCTGAGAGCACATAACGACATCCTAAGGAGTCCATACATTGGTTGTTTAATACAATTCATTTCTGAATCATATGATTCTTTCCTGAAATTGATCTGCCTGAGAATGCCTACTCCTGTCTCCTGTTCCTCAGGCCTTCTCCCAACATTACAGAGGGAAGGCCTTCCTCCCACACATCCTGAATCTAGCTATGGTGCAGTGCCCTTGGTGTAAAGACTCTGGGACACAAAATAAAAGGACAGTTCAAAAATCCTGCTGGCCGGAAAGCCTACTTTAATCAAAGCATCATAATCTCCCCCATCTAGCTCACTGAACTGCGTTTCTGATAACATTTTAATGGTTATTTTAATAACTGTTTATCAGAATTTGTTGGATATTTAGATAGTTTTGATCAATTGTGTAATTCAATCCAAAAGAATTTTTTAACACTTAGAGCCTATGGTAATAAGGAAAAGTTTTAAAATTTTAATTTATATATATAATGAATATTATATATAATAAGTTATATGTAATTTGTTATATATAAAATTCAATACGTATGTATTTATGATAGTCCTCTGTTTTCTCAGAGTTCTCTATGATATGTGTGATGATGTCAATAAGGACTTTCAAATATAAAATATATTTACAGTAGGATAAAGTTCTCCCCAGGAATTAGAATGGAAATACAAATTTAGGAGGAAAAAGGAATATTATAAAATTTCTGATTATTAAAGAGCTTGTTTATGTCTGTTGTAATGGATGATGGTGGAAATCAAATCAGTATGGCTTTATTTTTCCGTTGAACATTTCAGAGAGATGTAACATTTGTAATATCCCAGGGGTTCTGGCCCGTGCAACTATTTAAGTCTGTGATGAACAATTCTGGATGTTAACTTTAAAATATATGAGGCACTACATAGTTCTTCACAATTACCTCAGGGGTATATGAATAAAAATGTTTGAGGATTGCTGTTGAACGCCCTGATAAGGATTTTATTTTGTTTTATTTTTGTAAGAGGAGTGGTGAGCCACAGAACGGTTTTAAGGAAAGGAGGGACAAGACTTGGCTTCCTTTATAAAATGTCTTTGACTGCTGGGGATTTGGGGGCTGCACTGTTGAGGGTAATGGTGGATATGAGAGAAGGGGGCTGTGGTGTCCAGGTTGCCTTGAACTTGGGGATGAACCTGGTCAGTGACAGTAGAAAGAAATGGATGGGGTCAGAGAGATGTGAGAAGTGAATTTGGTAGAACTTGGTGATGGGTTGGGTAAAACAGGTCTCTGGCTTGGATGATTGGGTTGATGGAGTGTCTCTTCATTGGTATGGGGAAAGAGGAGGAGCCAGGGGTTTGGAGAGAGTGCAGAGAGCAGTACAATGCCCATCTCTTAGCTGACCATGACCAAAGCACCTTCCCTGGGGAAGGGGGACTCTGCCTTGCTCTGGTATCTCTGCATGGGGACTTCTTATAGGAGGGAGGTCTGACGTGATCATCCAAGAGATGTATTACTGGGTTCAAATTCCAGCTCACAAACTTAAGAGCCATGTGACCTTGGACAAGTCCTTTCATTTCTCTGAGCCTTGATTTCCTCATCTGCATGAAGCAGGGACACATAGCTTCTTTGGGATGCTCTAGGTGGAGGCTAGAATTCCATTTCCAAGCTGGAACCCTTTTGTGGTATCTTTTGGCTAAGCAAGGGCAGACTACTACTTAGGGAGGGAGGCATTTCCAAAATGACGAGCTAAACTCTTTACCTTGGTACCACAAATTATCTCCAGTCGTGAGGGGGCTTGTTGTGGAGATTGTGATGCTGTTAATGGGTTTTCTCTTTGCTTTGCTCTGGCTGGAGCAGACGGAGAAGGAGCATTGGGACTCTGGAGCCCTGGAAAGGATGTGCCCATTTGCAGTAAGTGAGTGGGTCTCTGCCCTCTGAGGTTGCTGGGAGGTGGTGGCTGAGGAGAGTGCAGACCCCTTGGGGACACCCTTGCCCAGGCCAGGCTGTGGACTTCCAGAGCAGAAAGGGTGATTTCCTTCCTTTACTTTCCTTCCATATTGAACACTGCAGTAATGACCTCAATCCTTATGAAGTCAGAGCAAGGGGGGCGGGGGTGTAGTCTTGCACTGCCTCCTGCATTGTCCCCTCCCCTGATGCGGGGGTGGGTTTAAGAAGTGTGTTTCAAATACAACGACTGGCAGCAAAGCGTGGTGGCTTGCACAATGGTGTTAAGAGTTCACGTGGCCAGTGCAAGAGGGAGAAACTTCCTTGCTGTGGCTTGAAGCCCTGTGTGGTCTTGTTCCTGTTCCTCTCTCTCCAGCCTCCTCCTTCTCCATGCACCCTTCTTCTTACTAAGCCCTGACCACATGGACCTCTTCCTCCTCTCTACTGTTCAAACATGTCTTGCTCCCCACCCCTGTCACAGGGCCTTTGCACCCGCTGTTTCTTCTGCCTGGAACACTCCACTTTTTCCTTGGCTGACCCCCTTTCATCTTTCATGCCGTGATTCAAACATCACTTCTCCAAAAAGGCATTTCCTCAGTATACTACATTTCTCCTGTTTTCATCTATTTTAATACTCAGTTCTTTTCTCTCATAGCACATGTTATAAGTTAGAAGCGTGTGGGGCGGCTGGGTGGCTCAGTTGGTTAAGCGTCCGACTCTTGGTTTTGGCTCAGGTCATGACCTCAGGGCTGTGAGATTGAGCCCCGCACTGGGCTCCATGCTCATCGGGGAGTGTGCTTGGGATCTCTCTCTCCCTCTCCCTCTGCTCCTCCTCCCAGCACTCTCTCTCAAATAAGTAAATCTTAAAAAAAAAGTTAGAACTGTATAGTTTTTGCATCTTGTTGATGGGGCTCATGTGATTGTGAGCTTAGTGGAGTAGAACTAGGTCTGGTCTGTTTACCACGGACTCTGCAGCACGTAGAATAATACTGCCACATCGCAGATGCTCAATAAACTTGTTGAATGAATGAATGAGCTTCCACTTCCCAAATACAAGAGAGCAAGATGGCATCTCATAAGAAGAGGATGGTCGGATAAGACAGGGAACCTCGTACCCATCTTATGTGGGGTTTGGTAAAGAATAAATGGGAGGATGCAGGTGAAGTGCTCCAAACAGGGAACCGGTGGTGGTCACCAAGGGTTGGCCATTTGGGTGGGGGGTGGGGGCCCTTACCTTGGAGGAATTTGGAGATGTTCACGTGCCTACTGAGGGGGCTCTGCAATGTACTGTGAGCCACTTGGCAGGTGAGCTGGGAGTGGAGTGAGGATAAGTCAAGGGTCACCAGCACCGTGCTGACGATGGTGTAGGATCCAGCATCTCTAGGCAGGAAAACCAGAGTCTGAAATGCCGGAAGCTCCACATCATTTTCAAGCCATTTCAGCTGTATGTTTTTGGGAAAGAAGCCAGTTGATGTGCAGGTGAGATTCACTCTCTGGCCTGGGCTGGCCCTGTTGGAGGGGCCAGAAACCTCTGGAAGAGAGGGCTTAGCTTCTGTCAAGGCAAAGTTGAGAGAGAAGAGAGAAACATAAAGATGGCAAGTTACTTTCTAGTGTGATACCCGCCCTTACGGTTCACTCAGCTAGACTCACCTCAATCTCTCATCTCCAGTTTTCTCTTCTGTGTAATTTTTATTATAACACTTCTTACTGTAATAGCTTTGCCAACTGGCCTCACTGACCGCTCCTTGATCCTTGCCACGTGCACTTGACAGACCTTGGTGATTATGTTAAAATACAGATCAGGGGCGCCTGGGTGGCTCAGTCGGTTAAGCGACTGCCTTCGGCTCAGGTCATGATCCTGGAGTCCCGGGATCGAGTCCCGCATCGGGCTCCCTGCTCGGGGGGGGGTCTGCTTCTCCCTCTGACCCTCCTCCCTCTCGTGCTCTCTGTCTCTCATTCTCTCTCGCAAATAAATAAATAAAATCTTTAAAAAAAATAAAATACAGATCAGATCTTGTCATTTCCCTCCCTCTCTCCCCTCCTTCCTGAAGTACGTTGTCCAAAAAGTCATATAATGTAGAGAACTAAAAATCAGATCCTCTTGCTTCCTCTCCTAGAAAAAAAATTACAGGCCAACCACTTTTAACTATTATAGCTGATTCTTTGGACATTTCTCACTGTGTTGAGCAGGGAAGGGCAGAGGGAGAAGGAGAGAGAGAATCTCAAGCAGGCTCCACACACAGCACGGAGCCTGACACGGGGTTTGATCCCACGACCCTGAGATCATGACCTGAGCTGAAATCAAGAGTTGGACGCTTAACCAACTGAGCTACCCAGGTGCCCTCTCTCTGTGTTTCTAAATAAGATGCTTATACAATTATTTCTTTTTTTTTCAGTTTTATATATTATGAATATATCTACTACTATGGAAGATGATGGTTTAGCTCTCACATCTCCCTCCACCTGCCATTCACACTTCCTTTCCTTACATCCTCTTATCATAGACACATCAAAATCTTTTATTTTATCAGTATTCAGCATTTATATTATTATGACCAAAGGAGCATTGTTCACAACTGGGCCACGTAATATATCATGATTATCTTTCCTTTCTTGTACAGCTTCCCCCCCCCAATTTTTAATTGTCTCTCTGTCTTTTTAAAGTTTTTATTTATTTAAGTAATCTCTACACCCAATGTGGGGCTTGAAGTCATGACCCTGAGATCAAGAGTCGCATGCTCTTTCGACTGAGCCAGCTAGGTGCCCCTAGTTGTCTTATTCTTTTTATTTGCTTAGTTTTTATGAGCCTATAACAAATTCATCCCTAAACTTTCTGCCAGATAGGTATAACTCCTCCCAGATCGTTTGATACTGCTAAGTACTGTAGTGAACTTCAGTTTAGGGTACATGAAACCCCAGGAGTGCACAAAGACTTTTCAGGGAGTATACAGGTTTGGGTTAAAAAAAAAAAAAAAACGTTTATAACACACCTTAAAAATACAAAGTACATGGGTGCCTGGGTGGCTCAGTCAGTTAAGTGTCCAACTCTTGATTTTGGCTCAGGTCATGATCTCAGGGTCATGAGATCAAGCCCTAAGTTGGGCTCCATGCTGGGCGTGAAACCTGCTTAAAATTCTCTTCTCCCCACCTTTACCCTCCCCCGCTGCTCACATATGCTTGCTCTCTCTCTCAAAAGAAAAATACAAAGTACTCATCCTGGGACTTTAACAATTATCAACCAATGTTTCATTTATACTTCTACCATCCACTGCATTATTTTATTTTATTTTTTTTTAAGATTTTATTTATTTATTTGACAGAGAGACACAGTGAGAGAGGGAACACAAGCAGGGGGAGTGGGAGAGGGAGAAGCAGGCTCCCCGCGGAGCAGGGAGCCCGATGCGGGGCTCAATCCCAGGACCTCGGGATCATGACCCGAGTTGAAGTCAGACACTTAACAACTGAGCCACCCAGGCGCCCCATCCACTGCGTTATTTTAAAGCAAAACTAGACACTGTCATTTCATTCACAACTACCTCAGCATGTATACTTAAGAATTAAGAATTATTTTTTAAACATAATCAAGGGGTGCCTGGGTGACTCAGCTGGTTAAACATCCAACTCTTGATTTCGACTCAGGTCATGATCTCAGGGTTGTGAGATCGAGCCCCATGTTGGGCTCCGTGCTTGGCCGAGCCTGCTTAAGATTCTCTCTCTCCCTCTCCTTCTGCCCACTGTCCCCCGCTTGTGCTCTCTCTCTCTCTTCTCTTAAAAAAATTATTTTTAAACATAATCAAAATCTCATTATCATACTTAAAATTTCTTTCTTTTTTCTTTTTTAATTTTATTATGTTATGTTAGTCACCATACAATACATCATTGGTTTTTGATGTGGTGATCCACGATCCACTGTTATCATACTTAAAATTTAATAATAATTCTTTTAATATTATCTAATACTTGTCAGTATTCAAATTTTCCTGCTTGTCTCACAGATATCATCTTATAATTGGTTTGTTTGAATAAGGATGTAAACAAGATCCATAAGTTACATTTTGTTGCTATGTCTTTTTTTTTTTTTTTTTTAAGTAGGCTCCATGCCCAATGTGGGGCTTGAACTCAGGACCTTGAGATCAAGAGTTGAATGCTCTACTGACTGAGCTAGCCAGGCACCCCTTGCTATTTCTTTTACATCTCCTTTTCTAAAAGAGTTTCCCTTTCCTCTTATTTTTCTTAATATTTATTTGTTGAAAAAACCCAAGTCTGCCGGAAAAACCTGCAGAATTTTCCATATTCTTGCATATATTCCTGTTGTATCATTTGAAATGATACTCTTTCCCCTATATTGCCTGCAGCTGGATCTAAAGGATCTAGTTGGTGAGAACCAGGTTCATGATTTTCATATGGTGTTTCATATGGTGTTCATAATCAACACCAAGAATACTTCCTAGGTGTTGCCAACAACTTCCTAATGCATTACATTAGGAGGCATGTAATATCTAGCTATTTCTTTTTATGGTGTTACGATTGACTACTGGCTTTATGTGTTGTCAGCTTGATCTATCTACTATGAAGTTCTCTACCAGCCTTTAGCCCAAATCTTTAACAAATGTAGATAATAATGTCTAGACCCATCGTTCCACCAGGGGTTATACCCTGGTGACTACTAATGTTACTATTCCTTCTGTCTGTATCAGTTGAAATTATTTTTTCCTTCCAACTATTTTTGGTTATTTTGACATACAGTTCATAAAGGAAAGGCAGGGTAAAAATGTCTTTGCTTACTCTCCTTTAGATTTTAGAACAATGAGTTGTGCCTTAGTAGCCCCCAGAGGTGACCAATGAAGTTTCTTTTATTTTTGTATCATTATAAAATTACGGTTTTTAACATGGATTGATAGATGTCAATCTTTTTTTTTTTTTAAAGATTTTATTTATTTATTTGAGAGAGAGAGAATGAGAGAGAGCACATGAGAGGGTGGAGGGTCAGAGGGAGAAACAGACTCCCCGCCGAGCAGGGAGCCCGATGCGGGACTCGATCCAGGGACTCCAGGATCATGACCTGAGCCGAAGGCAGTTGCCCAACCGACTGAGTCACCCAGGCGCCCAATGTCAATCTATTTTTATTTTTATACTTTTTAATGCTCAAATCATGTCATCTTTAGCCAGTGGGAGCCTCCTTGAAATTAGTTCCTGAGTTTTTTTATATAATTTCAGTAAACATCGATAGCTTCCTTGCTTTTCACACAACGAAATAGTCCATGCTCATTTTGCACATTTCCTGTCCAAGATCCAGAATCTGTCATTGCCCTGTGCAGCCCTGGTTGTTTTTTGTGGAAGTGCTATTAAGAGACTATAATCTGTGTTTTAGTGGTGCTCGTTACTACTAGGTTGTCACTGCTTCCAGGTCCTTTTTGGGCGACAGACAGGGCTATGAAGTAAGTATTTTTTAAGGAGGGAGACAATTAAACAGGTTAATACTGATAGTTATAATCCAATCTTAAGAATGCAGTTTTTAGGGCACTTGGGTGGCTCATTTGGTTAAGTGCCTGCCTTCAGGTCAGGTCATGATCCCAGGGTCCTGGGATCGAGTCCTGCATCAGGCTTCTTGCTTGGCCGGGAGTCTGTTTCTCCCTCTACCCCTCCCCCCTGCTTGAGTGCACACGTGTGCTCTCTTGCTCTCTCTCAAATAAATAAATAAAATCTTAAAAAAAAAAAGAAAAAAGAATGCAGTTGTTAAACTTAACGTCTTTGTTTCTGCTCTGTATCTTTCTCTCATCCTCAAATACCAGTTCCTAAGGACATCAACACATTTATTTGCTTTAACCTACAACACATATATAATACTTATAAACACCAACACCAAATATTATTACCAAATTATTGAATAGAGTTTTGGATTTCTTCATGCTTCTCGTTGTTCTTAGGATACGTTTCATTGGGGATATAGATACAAATTATTATGTATAACGTACACTCTCCAAGGCACACCCAGATTCCTTGAGCTTGACCACTCCAGTGCACTCAGGACTACTTCCAAATGCCTGTATATGAATGTTTTCTCCTGAAAGCTTTTTCAGAAGGTTGCTTGTATGGAAGGTTGTCTGTGCACGTGGAACACTGAAAATACGTGGCATCTAACACCCTCTGAGAACAGCTCTCAGTCAATGACTGAGAGTGAGTTGGTATGTAATTAGCCCAAACTTCTTTCCTTTCAAGAGGGATACATCTGATACATGTTCTGTATCATTTCCCATAGTTTCTCATCTGATTAAGATCCATTTGCCCACAGTGGTGGTAGGCTTGATGACACACCCTTCACTAACTGTCTGACTTCACCCCTTCCCTACTGGGGTTCCTGGCACTCAAATATTTGTCTCAGATCTGCTTGGTGAATCTAAGCTAAAACCCTATGTTTCAAAGTCTCTTGAAATAATTTCTCTTTATCTGGGTAAGCCATCAATACATGGTTAGATTAATTAGTTAAATTTTAGATTTCGTAGTCTAGATATTAATGCATTTTTTAATTTTTAATTTATTAATTATTTAAAA